CAGGTTCTACTGGGTTAACCAGGTTCAGTCTCAGGGGACTGTGGGCTGTGTATACACTTCCTGACTTTGTAGAAATTTGCAAGATGAAGACAGTTGTTTTCAATTCCCTAAATATCTGGGCTGCCACCTAAATGAAATCAAAAGGCTGATCTGCTCATCCAACTACATTTTCTTTAATTTGCTTCTTTATATCTGAGAGGTTTCCAACTAAAATGGAAATAAAAAGATTTCTATGTTCTAGAATTTCAGGGTTTAGTGTACCATGCCTTCAAAACGTCTGCATAAGGCATTCAATAAAGGCCCTCTTTCCTAGTGCACAAGTCAACCCCAGACCAAGTCACCCTACAGGCAAAAAGCCTCCACTATTCCTCCTATCTGTCCCGGATATCAGTCCCTAGTTTCCACCTCACACCATGTGGGTTCAGGCAACGCTATTCGTTCCCTTTAGTTAGTACGTTCCCTTTAGTACGTTCAATTCACTTTGCCTGAAGGGTGGATTTACATGCCCTATCTTACAATATTAGGCAGGGAAAACATTCTCCAGTGAGACAGCGTCCATCCCCATAATACAATCAGGCAAAAGAGGTGGAACTGAAACAGGAGGGAAATCGGCAGGGCACAACTTTTGAAAGAATGACATAGCCCAAGGACATGACATAAACTGATTAGAACCAAATGGGCCCAAGATGGCACACAAGTAGACTTCCACTAGACCTTGAGCCTCAGTATATGCTCACTGTAACACATCAGCAAGCTAAATGACACACCCACAGGTGCCATGACAGTTCCAAGACAGAACGTAAGGATCAAAAGTGGGCGGTGGCCCAATTCCTGGAAATCCCCACCCCTTCCCAAAATAGCTGGAATACTCCTCCCACTCATTAGCCTATGAAATTACCCATCCCTATAAAAACTGACAAACCCCCATACCTTGGTGCCTTTCTCACCTTCTGAGATGGCCCACAATCTGTCTGTGGAGTGTGTTTCTCTCTAAATAAATCCACTTCTCACCTATCACTTTGTCTCTCACTGAATTCTTTCTGCAATGAGACATCAAGGACCTGAGCTTCATTAAGTCCTGAGGCCAGGTGTGTGATCTCACTGTTGGAAGACCGTGGGTTTTGGCAGGGTTCGAGGCCTGGCTGCATGGGTTCAAGTCCCAATCTGAGGTGCACGGTTTCACAGCCACCTTACACAAAGCCCATTCAAATACACCAATTCTCTTATAAACTTTCACCTCAATTCTGTCCACTCTTATACCTCTAACCACAGTCTCCACTAGGACCCCATCAACAAGTCTTGGTCTTATAATACGGGGTAGGGGAAGTGTTCCCACCCAGATAGAACATCCATTCCCATAAAACACTTAGGCCATGTTGATATAACCTCTTCACATAACATCCATTCAAACATTTCAACCTTTATAATCCTCTCAACCCTCGTATGTTTACATTTTCTCAATCTAAGTGTAGGCCAAGTCAGGCTTCCATCAGTGGGTTTTGGTACCACAGCTCATGGGACTCCCGCATCAAGGAGTCCTGGAAACTTCTATCACCCTAGCAGTCTTACCCACTCCAGTGTAAAAGGCTGTGGTTCCCAGTGAGGGATGGAGGTAAGGAACCCAGTTCCTTTGTTAGTCTTTAACTTGATTAACTGGCCTAACTGTTGCCCCAAGCAATTGCTGGTCAGGTTTCTCATTGTAATTTTTTCCTTCTGGCTTTTGAAAATTTCACCAAACCGGGGTAAATAGAGCAAATTTGTTTGGTGCCCTTTAATTTTAGGGGATCTTAGGGGGGGATCCCTTTGGCTCACCCAGTCTTAGGTAGTGCTGCTTTAAAACGTTTGTTTTAATCCCATCAATGTCTGTTTTATTTATCACATTTTAAAATAACCATCTAGGGCTTCCCTGGTGGCGCAGTGGTTGAGAGTCCGCCTGCCGATGCAGGGGACACGGGTTCGTGCCCCGGTCCGGGAGGATCCCACATGCTGCGGAGCGGCTGGGCCCGTGAGCCATGGCCACTGAGCCTGCGCTTCCGGAGCCTGTGCTCCGCAACGGGAGAGGCCACAACAGTGAGAGGCCCGCATACCGCAAAAAAATTTAAAAAAATAAAATAAAAAAATAAAATAAAATAACCATCTAAAGATTTCCATCCTGCTGGGATGAGTCCTGCGACTCCCTCTGATTCCTCCTTATTCTGTCACTTTCAGTATTTGCCTTATTTACCTTATTTATTAATAATCCTATGAAAATTTCCACCTTGTTGGGAAGAGTCCCTTTGACTTTCCCCTCAGCTTCTTCCCATTCTCTTAATGTCCAAGGGAAATATAATGCGAGCCACATATGGGATTTAAAGTTTTCTAGTGGCCATATTTTTAAAAAAGTAAACCAAATCAAAAAACAAAACAGAACAAAACCCACAACCAGGTGAAATCAATTTTGATAACATTTTATTTAACCCAATATATGCAAAATGTTATCTCAACATAAAGCCAATATAAAAATTATTAGATATTTTACATTATTTTTTTCATAGTAAGGCTTAAAATCTGGTGTATATTTTATACGCCAGATGTGTTATAGCACATCTCAATTCAGGTGCTGGATTTTCATCAGAAATACTTGACCTATATCTAGATTTCATAAAATTTATAGTTGAGAAGGCAATCACCTACCCACATGCTCCAACACACACGTCAGTTTTCCCGTGATGCACTGAGACCCTGCTTGCTCTGGAAGCTCGTGGCTCTGGGCTTCTGTCCTGGCGCTTTTCTTCTGAGCACCTCGCACGCTCTATAATGATGTCTGCCTTCGTCACTACTGCTGTTCTCAACAAGCGGTGCACATAGGTAAGTATCCACAGCATATTTGCTGAATAAATATATTTATATCAAAATTAATAAAATCCAGAATTCCGCCCTCTCCTAAGAGTTAGATGACCCGCTGGTCTACAGAGATGTAAGCTGTTGGAAGAGGGTGGGGTCTCTCCCATCTTCTCAGAGGTTGAGGGGAAAGGCGTCACTTCTGATCCCTCCACCCCTCTGCACGGGACAATGGCAAGACAGGACAGCCCCCCAGCTGCTGTCACACAAAACTCACACCCACACTTGCGCCTGGACCCTCTCCACTCAGCTCTGACTTCCCCAGGGCTACTTTTCAATAGTGCCAAAGGCAGCAGGGCCCACTTGGGTCCCTGGGTCATGTTTTCTAACTGTTTGCCTTGGGTTACTTTCAACCTGATCAGGACCTTTCTAGAGCCACATGAAGACTCACCAGGACCAAGAGAGAATGGGACCGGTTGCTGCTCAGACTGGAAACCGGCAGGATGACAGGAGCGCCCCCACCAGCAGTCAGGCCTTACCACCCACCCAACCTCTAGCCCACCCAACCTCTTTTAAAATGTAAAAGAACAATGATTTTCTATCTCAACTTCCCACTTAGCAACCAAAGAGCACATGTGTGTAACTTTTATATATGACCAGGGACCAACACTGGGTCTATCTGCACACCTGAAACCACACAGGCCTTAGCTATGAGGGGTTTGGTAAAAGGATGTGACGGGATTCTACCCTCCATACACTGTTTAGGATCCTTTGTAGCCTTCTTCCAGCATCCCGGAGACAAGCAGCCCTAGAGAGCTGGCATTACCGCCAGGAGTCCCAGGAACGGTCCTGGAGGCAGGGATGATCTACCTGAGGAGGTGGCACAGGGTGGAGCTGGACTACGGCCCCGGCATCCTTCTCGGTGGTGGCAGTGGGGCAGGGACCCCACCTTGGCGCTCAAAGTCAAGGCTCTCAGAAGGGGAGGGAGGTTACGTGGCCCCAGAAAAATTACCTTTCCAGGAGGGCAGGGAAGGGCTCGGGGAGAGGGCAGGACAGATTTTGTACAACCGACTGGGGCACGAAGACCAGCACCTGTTTTTTGCCAAACAATAAAATATCACCCAGAGTGAACGCACAGGTCTCATCGCTGGGGCTTCCATCGATGGCTCAGACAATGAAACTAACTCATCAAACACACAGGCTGAGAGCTCGGGCCTGCCCGCCCTTCCCTCTGGGGCTTTCCCAGCGCAGATCTAGGAGCCCGGAGACAGGCCAGCTTGCCAGGTCACCTGTTAGCCTGAGCAATGGATCTCACAGAGCCCAGCTCGGTGGCAATGGGGTCAGAGGATGTGCACTGGCTAAATATAGTTCAGCAGCACATTTTTAATATAAAGCAAAATGGAAAAAAGCAGGTTAAATTTCTGAGACAGTATTTCTTCCTTGCCCTGAGGAGAAGAAACGCTGCAGTGGCTGGCGGGAGTCTGCCCTTTCCTCCGTGCTCCCTGTCCTGTGTAGGGCAGACCTCTCCACCGAGGGGCCCTAGCCCAGGGGCTCCCGCAGACCCTGGTGGGAGGTGGGAGGCGGCTTCAGGTCACAGAAGCTGAAGCGGCAGCCATCCTGCATGTCTCCCTGAGAGACGCCGTCCAGGCAGTGGTCCGCGAAAGCTCTGGTGTTGTCCCACGGGCCTGTCCTCTCCAGCGTGGCCTGGAGAAGTTCTCGGATCCTTCGGTTTTCCTTGGAGGTGGACTCCCAAACAACCTCAAGCTCACCTTCCATTTCTCTGAGAGAAATAAACAATATGAAGGAAAAGTTTAAAATAACACAATTTAAAAAAATACTTATAGATCCCTTATGAATCCTAAAGTAGTGAGAAGCCAAGTGGAAGAATGTTTAAAGTCAGAGAACAGAGCCCATTGTGCGTGGGTTGTGAAGCAAAGATTCCCAGTGTCGAATGAAGCCCAATGTCCCCTGGAAATAGAAAAAAACACAAAGGCACAGGCTGAAAATGACGTCTTAGATTTCCTCTCTATGTTCTGCCTTTTCTTCTATTTTGGCACCAGTGCACACACCCTTTGTTCTCCATGGCATTAATGTTACAAAAATAAAACACAATAACTGCAGTGGCTGACCTACCGCACAACGGCCTGGCTGTGGGTGCCCACACAGCATGGGCCCTGTAGGCCTCTCCAGTGTCCCCACTGCGACCTGGCCAACACTCAGACACCTTTCACAGCCTTCATCCACAGAGCAGCTGATGGGCCCAGACACAGAGAGTGAGTGAGAGGGTGAGGAGGGGACCAACTGTGGGGAGTGAGGATCACAACCCAGGTCACAGAGAAGACTGGCCCAGACCATGTGCCAGGAGGGGCGAGTGTCCAGAGGGAACCAAGGCTGAGCCAGGACTGTGTGACGGGCCCCATGTGGGGAGCTGAGGAAACAGGGCAGGCAAGGTACACATGTCCTCGCAGGGCTGTGGTCCACTGGGGGAGCAGACCAGATACCTGCCACCACCTCACATGAGCCCCACGGGGAGGGAAAAGCAAGCCTTAGCCTGAGAGGAGGAATGGGCCTCATGCAGGACGGCAGGGCTGGGAAGGCCAGCTCTTTCACAGACACTGCCCGGTGGTTACGCAAAATGTTAGCAACTGGATTACCAGGTGGACTTACCACTGTTGTTTAAAGAGGAGGACACCACAGAGATTCAGGGAGGCCAGTGACACATCCACTCGTCCAGTGTCACTTTCCTTGTGAACTGCTGTTTCCTTCCAAAGCCCATGATGCCCACTAATTACTCTATGTCTAAAAAATCTCCATGCTTCCATTTTCTGATGCAAAACACCCAGATGTTTGATACATTACATCATGATAATGTACAGTTAAACTCAAAACAAAGAGAGAAGGAAATCTCTAAGGGCAGAAAAAAAAAAAAAGAGGATTAAACTGAAACCACGGAGTTTGGTAAACAAAATGTTTGTATTGCTTTGAGGACAAAAGCCCATGCTAGAAACCCAGATTTCTGTAGAATGGAGACTAGTCTTGGGCGCATGCAAACTGGGTGCAACAGAAAACCACAGGGCTCACTCACATCCATGTTTCCCCTCTTCCTCCTAGCAACACTGTGAACTATGTGTCCCAGAATTAGGCAGGTAAGTGGATATATGTGAAGAACCCTCAAAGGAGGCATGGTTGGGTAGAAAAATCTGCCAATCTTCAAAAGAAATCTGCTCTGAGAGGCTCCTTGGGGACTGTAGCCACTGACTTGTTCTCAAATGAATCTGGGGTTTGAATATACACTGTTCCCCATAGTAGAGCATCCCCAGTCCCTAACTGGAGTGAACCAAGAGTAAAAAGACATTTTTGAGACAATCAGGGAAAAAACTCAATGGATGAGTTAAAAGTACATTGGACACAACCAAAGAGAGAATTAATGAAGTGGAATATTGAGCAGAGGAAACCACCCAGAATGCAGCTCAGAAAAATATATTATTAAGAAGTTATACATTCATTGTAAATGTAATAATGGCATTGTGAAATTTTTTTTTGGTTTTGGCCATGCAGCTTGCAGGATCTTAGCGCCCTGACCGGGGATCGAACCCAGGCCCTCAGCAGTGAAAGTGCAGGGTCCTAACCACTGGACCGCCAGGGAATTCCCTGTGAATATTTTTAAAGTCCTTTTGTATTAAAAAAAAAAAGCATTACTGTAGATTCTTTTTTAAGTTAATAATAAAATTAAAGTGACTCCAGGTTTGGAAATACTCTCTGGCACCAAAGAAAAGCAAATGCAAACCTTCTCTGGAGAAAACATCCTCAGTCCAGGCCCCTAAGACTCCACAGACTAAATTCAATCCATACATGAGTTCATGGTAAAAAAATTACTGTACATAGAACAAAATAAGCCACACAGGGCAAGAGTCAACAAAACCAGATTTCAGATCCCCAAATTGCAGATAATGAAGCTGTCACACACAGAATATAAAATAACTATGAATAAAATGTTAAAAGAAATAAAAGATGTATTAAAGATAAGCAAAGACCAAAAATTTATTTTAAAAACGACTAGTTAGATTTTCAAAAGAACCAAACAGTACTTCTGAAATTGAAATATACAGTTGTTGAAATAAAAAACCTCCATGGCTAGGTTAAACAGTACATTGAACAAAACTGAACAGAGAGCTAGTAAACAGAAATATTGAGAATTACCCAGAATGTAGACCAGAAAAAACAAGGAGATAGAAAATGTAAAAGATAAGACACATGAAAGATTCAATAAGAAGGTTTAACATACATTTAATATGAGTTCCAGAAGGAAATCTAGAAACAATGAGGGGAAAAGACTTATTTTAAGAGAGAGATAATGACTGGTAATTCGCTGGTGGTCCAGTGGTTACGATTCTGCACTTCCATTGCAGGAGGCACAGGTTTGACCCCTGGTCAGGGAATTAAGATCCCACAAGCCACACGGCACAGCCAAAAAAAAAAAAGAGAGAGAGAGAGAGAGAGATAACGACTGAGAATTTTCTGGAAATAATGAAAGACACAAAATCACACATATAGAGAATAACTTATACCAAGCAGATAAGTGAAAAGAAATTCATAGTTAAATACAATGAAACTGCAGACGACAAGAGACAGAGGAGATCTTAAAATAGGCAAGAGAAATGATGGATCATCTAGTTTTAAAAATGACAAAAGACTTCTCAACAGCAATAATGAAACAGAGAATACAGTGGAATGTGCTGAGAGAATAGACTGTCAAGGTAGAACCCAGCAAAAATCAACTCACAAGGATGAGGGCAAAATGAAGACATTTTCAGATAAACAAAAACTAAGAAAGCTTACTCTCACTAAAACTTCTAAAGCATGTACTTTTGGAAGGAGGAAAATAATCTGAGAAATAAGGTCTAAGATGCAAAAGAGAATAGTAAGCAAAGAAACTGGTAAACTCTAGGTAAATCAAAATAAAATAACTATATTGAAACTAGTAATATCTAATTTCTGGGGCTAAAAACAATGATATCAAATAGATCTTTGCTTTTCATCTTCACATATCTGTATCTACATGTAATGACACTAGACAACAAGAGCATATAAATTGAGTGGGAAATAATTAGGTTAGAGCGTTAGGTCTTGCATTTGCGGGTAGAGATGTAGAGGTGCTGATTAACTTTAGATTTTTGTTAATGTTAGGTATCCATATGAAATTTCAAGGGCAACCACTGAAAGAACATAAATAGAATGTTTAACTTTCAAACCATTAAAGGGCAAAACATGGAATAAGGGAGAAAGTGAAAAACAAAGTTCCATTTTATTAACGCAATTCTAAACCTCCTGTCTGGCAAGAAAGTTGGTACCGGCCCAACTTTTACAAAGTGACCACTTATGGTGGTAAGAACTTCTGTGACTACAGAAAACCTGTTAGATAAGACTTCATTTTGCCTGGGCATTAAGAAACATCCGGCTGATAGAAAACATAAACAGCTGTCTGCATTCTGTCTGGTAACAAATACACGGATTCTACTGTAACTTGAAGAAAATCACATTTGAGTGTCATTATGATTCTTCCACGTGCATCAGTTCACGTTCCAGTCTGTCAAAGACAACACAGCCATCCTGAAAAGGCCGACTTAAATGTGAACCCAAACTACGTGAGGGGACCACCAGGTTCACCTCCACAAAACATGTGCTATTCCCCAGGGTTTTCAATACACTGGCAACACCTCCTCTATCACACGTTTATAGGACAAAGGTGGTTATAAAGCAGAAACTAACACACCATTGTAAAGCAATTATACCCCAATAAAGATGTTAAAAAAAAAAAATAAATAAAAAAAAATAATAATAATAATAATAAAGGACAAAGGTGTAACTGACAGAGTACCTTACAGCCACAGAGAACATGATATACCCATAATCTTATGACTATGATCTTACAAAAAGGGAAGAATCTGAAATTTAAAGTTCTCAGAAATGAGAACATAATGGCAGAAATAAAACATTTAATCAAAGATTAATAAAATCTCCCAAGAAAATGGAATAGAATAAAAATATCAAAGAGATGGAAAAGAGGGGGAAAAAGGGAAGGACAATGAGAGGACTGGATTGATTTAGGAAGTCCAATATTCAAACAACAGGAATTTTTAAAGGAGGGATTAAAGACCTGGGATCTACTGTACAGCACTGGGACTATAATTACCAGTGCTGTACACTGGAAAGTTGCTAAGACAGTAGATCTTAAATGTTCTCACCATAACAACAACAACAACAAAATGGTAATTACATGAGGTGAAGGATATGTTAACCTTATTGGGGTGATCATTTCACAATATATATGTATATCAAATCACACTGTACACCTTAAACTTATACAACGTTCTATGTCAATTGCTAGGGAAAATCTTTTCAAAGAAAAAAAACGAGGAGCAAATAAAAAAACCAATATTAAAATATATTTAATATTAAAATCAGATAAAACTAAAATAAGCAATCAAATGAACAAAGCAGGTCCAGAGGGTTTTACTGGAGGATTCTACCAAACATTCAAAAAACAAAAACATGGCAACAGGGCTGGGGTGGCCAGACCTTTTCTGCTGCAGCGCCTGGTCCAGGACATTCTGCTTGTCCTGCAGCATCCGATGGAGGTGCCTCATCTCCTGCTGGTACTGAGCTGTCTTGCTAGCAAAGTCTTCCTGCTGCTCTGTCAGACGGTGACTGATGTCACCCAGCTTCAGGGCCGCCTGCTTCCTGTACCCCTGGGGGAGGAGGATGATCTCTGAGTGAGGGGGTGCTGCCCGTGGCCCAGGCGAATAGCTTTGTGGATGCGTTCCCTCTCCACTCCTTGGCCTGTCAGAGGCCCTGAACTGAGTAAGCCCTGGGCAAGTCTGATCTGAGAGGGCAAGTCTGGATCACAAAAGTCACATAAAGTAATAAAAAAATTTCAAGTCTAATAAAACCAAATTTCTGACTTGTATCATGCCTAGTTTTTTATATGCCACAAATAAAAATTAAAACAGAAGGACCTGGCAAGGTCTGTCATACTCTATTGGTAAACAGGTGACTGAGATAAAAGCCTGATTCACTTATTTTCCTTCTTAAATTTTTATTGTATAGTACTTAAGGTTAACAGATTTCCCTCTGAGCATTTCCAAAACTGTTGTCACATAGATTCTGACTTGTAGTTCCCATTAGAAATTATGACATTCAATTTATACATCTCCTCTGACCCAAGAGTTCGTTTACTATACAGTTTTTACATTTCCAGGTGAAAGAACATTTTCTGCTCTGATTTTGTTTAATTTCTGGTATTTATCTTTTTGATCAACAAATGTCTGCCTTATTTCTACTTTAGGGGTTTATTGAGGCTTTTTTTTTTTTGGTAGCCAGTCTATGATCAATTTTCGTGATTGTTCTGTGTGTGTGTGTGTGTGTGTGTGTACACACACACACACACACACATACACACACAAATAAACCTTATAGATTATGTTGTAAAATCTTCTATATTCTTACTTTTGTATAACTTCTTGATCTGTCTTAGACCAAGAGAAGCGGATTAAAGCTCCTATTATCACTAAGTTTCCATTTCCCCTTGTATCTCCTGTAGTTTATAAAATTTGCTGCTGTGCTATTTAGTACGTAGGCATTCATAACTACTATATATTATTAATTGTAGTCTTTAGCATTATCAAGTCCTCTCCTTTTTTTTTTTTTTTGGACTCATTTAGTGCTTTTGGCCTGTATTCTCTCTTGGCAAATGTAAAGATCGCAACTATGCTTTCCTTTTGTTTGCATAAATCTGTATTATCTTCACTCATCCTTTTATTTTTCATCTTTCTGAAACACTGTTCCTGACTGTCTCTTGGTTCTGGCATGTAATAGTGTTTTCCTTTATAATATAATCTAAAATTGTTTCCTGTTAATGGGTGAATTAACTCATTTCTATTTTCTATAGGGCAGATTTGTTTGCCTCAATTTTATCTTATGTTTTATTGTTTTATCTACACACATTTTTAAAGACTTTAATGTAGTCTGTTTTCTTCGCTCTTTTTTGCTGTTGTAATTTTGCTATTAAGGAATGAATCTCTTTTGATTCTTGTGGTTACTTTTATTTTTATGCCTTTATATTACATGTCCTTCGTCCCCTCATTTATTAAAGTAACATAATGTTAGCTCCTGACAATCTTTTCTTCACTCTTCCCCTACTTAAATATGCTTAAGCTCCTCCTACTGAAGTTTTCATCTTTAAATGATACCCTTTGACCTCAGTTATTACAGGTGACGCAATCAGCAAGTTCATTCGACTTTCTAACTTCCCTCCCCCTTTACCTGTCATGTTTTCCTTGGTTGTATTACTTCTATGTTGTCAGGTTGTATTATGTCTGCATTTTGTTGCATCAGCCTTATCCCTGCTATTTTTAAGTCTTAGTTCACAGTTCAATATATTCTTTGCTCATGAGCAGTACTTTTCTGAAATTTGCCCAATCATTTCTTGGCTGAACTCAAGCTGATTGATCCTTAGGAAAGGTTTATGGAAAAAATGTTCGAGTTCTTATATGGTCACAGCTGTCTGAAGAGCAGCCTGGTTGGATGAAAACATCCTTGAATATTCATAGATGGAATTCCACTGTTCTCTGGCATTCAGTGTTGTTGTTGAGAAGTGTTATGCCAACATGATTTTCTTTTTCTTATGTCCTGGTCTTTTGCTTGGGTGTCCAAGGTATTCTTTCTTTGTCTTGAAGTCACAGGTCTTGATGTCAATTTTCTAGGGCCATCCTGGGTCAGTTTTTCATAGGTACTTAATGTGCCCTTTCAATATGTAGATTCAACTCTTCATTTATTTCAGAAAATTTTATGAATAAAAACTTTTAAGAATTACTCTTTGGAGCAGAATAAGTACCATTGTTTTGATTTCTGCTTTAGGTAAATTGGATCTCTATCACTTTCTACTAGTGGCTTTTTTTTTTTTTGGCTGCACTTTGTGGCTTGCAGGACCTTAGCTCCCTGACCAGGGATCGAACTCGGGCCCCCAGCAGTGGAAGCACAGAGTTCTAACAACTGGATGGCCAGGGAATTCCCTCTACTAGTTCTTTTTATTTCTGCCTTCTTGTCTTTGCCTTTCTCATTTATCCTCTATGTCCCTTATCCTGCTTTTATGATATCTTTCTCCCTGGGCTCCTTATAATTTAGTCTACATTTCTCCTTTCCTTCTATTTCTTCCCTGAGTTATGTCAGTTCCATTTCACATCCTCCTTTGTCTGGCCATCTGTGTCTCTGCTTTTTGGCATTTTCCCCCAGCTTTTACTGTTTTATTGAGTTTGAGCTACCTGGCTACCTGCCTACCTCCTTACTTGTCTGTCTACTTACCAACGTATCAGTTTACCTTAGAGTACAGGTTTCAATTTTGATCTCCTTTGTGGCAACATTATTTCTGATGCGCTTACATCCTGTGTAAGAAAATTATACTTCTATTTTTCTTAAAGAATTTTTGTATGGAGGCCACTGAATTCTTTGGGGATGAGATGAGGTTCCTGCGACGGTGAGAGCAATGGGTCAACTTCCAAGCTTCACACACCACTTCTCTTGCAGTCCCTTCTCTGGCTCTCTGAATCCAGCCTGGTTCTGAAATACTTCTGTCTGCAGCTCTGATTTCCCAGATCTCATCATTGCCCTGACTTCCAAGTTGATGTTCTCACTTTTAGGAGGGTTTTGCTAAGGTTGACTGAGATGTCACCTCTGAATTTTATTTTTTTTAAGATTTTTTTTTTGATGTGGACCAGTTTTAAAGTCTTTATTGAATTTGTTACAATATTGCTTCTGTTTTTTTATGTTTTAGTTTTTTGGCCACGAGGCACTCGGGATCTTAGCTCCCTGACCAGGGATTGAACCCGCACCCCCTACGTTGGAAGCGCAGAGCTCTCAACCACTGGACCACCATGGAAGTCCCTGTCACCTCTGAATTTTGACAAGCCTTTTCCAGGTCTCTTCTCCTCACTTTCCCAGAGATCCTGCCCTATCTGACCTGGATCTGGCTCACAGATTTCTTCTCTGGGTGACTGGGTGGAACTTTTTTATTTTTACTGTTCTTATTCAGATGAACAGTAATGAGACAAATTCCCAAGACAAGGCCAACCGCTCTGAAGATCAGACCTTCTCTTTGGGAAATTAAAGCCAACAGGAAAACCAGGAAAAAAAGAACAAACTACAACTGCTCTTTATTACTCATAATACTTCTATGCAGATTCCCATCATTAATAGTGTGGTATAGTCCTTCTAGCCTTTCTGATGCAGAGTTGAGATACTGTTTTGTATACTGCTTTTGATCTTGTTACATTTTTTAAATTGTAAAATATATTATTTAATTCCCCCAATAGTTATTGAATTAATTAAATACTATGCACCAGGTGCGATTCTAGGTGCTTGGGATATACCAGTGAACAAAAACAGAAAAAGAGAAAAAATCCTGTCACTTGTTATTCTGGTCAGAATAGACAAACAGTAACCAACAAACATAATCAATAAATTACGTAGTCTGTTAAAAGGTGATGTTGTCTCTGGAAGAAATAACAAAGCAAGGATAGAGCCTAGAGATATTTCTGTATCTTTTTTTGTTTTTAAACAGCTGCATGGTATCTTATTGTGCAGATGAACCGAAGTTTACTTAATGAATGGAGAGGTGCTATTTCTTTTTTTTTTTTTTTGGCTGCATCACACAGCATGCAGGATCCTTAGTACCCTGACCAGGGATCGAACCCGTGCCCCTGCAGGGGAAGCACGGAGTCTTAACCACTGGACTGCCAGGGAAGTCCCGAGAGGTGCTTTTAAAAAACAATTTTATTTAATTAATTTATTTATTTTTGGCTGTGTTGGGTCTTCATTGCTGCATGCGGGCTTCTCATTGCAGTGGCTTCTCTTGTTGCAGAGCACGGGCTCTAGGTGCATGGGCTTCAGTAGTTGTGGCACGTGGGCTCAGGAGTTGTGGCTCACAGGCTCTAGAGCACAGGCTCAGTAGTTGCGGTGCACAGGCTTGGTTGCTCCGCGGCATGTGGGATCATCCTGGACCAGGGCTCAAACCCGTGTCCCCCGCATTGGCAGGCGGATTCTTAACCACTGCACCACCAGAGAAGTCCGAGAGGTGCTATTTCTGCCAGAGAAACCCAATACCGCTTTACTCTGTGGATGATCAGTGATACATACATGCAAAATGGGTCGTTTTCTTAAACATGGAAATCTGACCCCAGGAAGCCCATTCCCATTAGGAGTGGCTAAATGTCCACTTACCTTGACTTTTTCCTCCAACCTTCCCAAGCGAATATTGCCTTCTATGATTTTGTTGAGAACTCCATGCTTCTCACTTTCTAAACATTTAGCCTACAGAGTAAAGTGAAAAGAAAAACAATGGGCTCTTAGTTTAACAGGAAAATTAAAATAATAAAAAATCTTCTGCTGAGAGTATTACTACAAAGAGTATTACCATTCTGCCACTCGTCCTGGCCTGACACCTCTCCAGCCCCCCACCTCCAGATTCCTATCCCCTGTGTGAGGGCTGTGGGCAGAACTTGGACCAACAGCTGAGGAGGGCAAGAGCCGGGAACGGCAGCCTGGGCGCCCCTTCTGGGTACAACTGGAGAATCTGAGCCCCGCAAACAAGGGGGATGTGAGCTTCCAGGACACTTCTCTATTCTTGGGGAATATACCATTCCTTCCATCATATCCAATGAACAAGTGCCAACATGCAAATAAACTTCTCACTGGACTATCTGAATAATTAACAAAATTAAGGATAACTTGAGATGAACGCAAAATGCCATTCTCCAAACCAAATGTGACGGGCAGTAGATCAAAGAGGGATGTCACTGAAGTGGAATGATTTAGATTAATATCCAGATGGGACACACTATAAATTAACCATTTCAAATGGTAAAATTTTTTTAAAAAGTAAAGGTGAGCATTCCTTCTAAGGTAGTACAGTAGTGACAAGTGATTTTCTAGAAAGGAAAACTAAGACCCAGGGAGTTAAACTTGCCGCAAGTCACATGGAAACCCATCCTAAAGGGATTCGAAATGAAGATGCCAGTATCAATAAATTACTATATAGGGGGCTCTCACAAGGCCCAGGAGACCAGAACAGGGTAAGGTGAGGGTGCACGGCCAACAGTCCCACGACAGGGCAGAGGCAGCCAGTACCACCCCCGAACCCCAGCTACAGAGGCTGGTTTTGGGGCTGCCAGGGGCAAGGAGCCTGCAGGGCCAAGGGGACAGCAGTCCGTGTGCACACTGAGGTCCCTCATGGTGGGTGGAGCCAGGGCAGGCTGAGAGCAGCTCCCCCTGCATCTGGAGGGTCTGAAGATTCTAAATCTGACCTGGCTTTCAGGCCATAATAACAAAGGTCAAGGCGGGAGGAGAGAACACATTTTATTAACAGTCTGTTGGCGTAATCTGTAACTTTTAAGTATTTGGACAAGCAGTATATGGCCTCCATTTGTATTTCCATCCTGGGTCCACAAATATGAGTGAGCCTAAGGGGACCTTCTGATGGTCGAGGAGGCTCTTGACTTCATCATGGGAGCCTGGGATGCTCTCTGGCCCAAACAGGAGGTACAGGGCCTGCCTCCTGGGGGAACCAGCATGTCCCACCCTGTAAACAAGATGGCCCTGACACGAGGCAGCCAGGTTCCCATGAGTGTTTGCTGGATGAGTGCGTTTGCTTGGCACTTTCCATTTTTCAACAAGCTTTTGTGTTGCCCTCGATATCCCAGTGGGTAAGCCCAGGAGACACAGCAGAAGAGGAAATGGGCACTCAGCACTGGCACAGAACATGCCAGAGACTTCAGCACTTGGGCTGGGATAGTGACCTCTCAGGAGGGGACTACTGGTTCAGGAGGTCTGAATGCTTTTAAGGCTCCTACCATGGCATGTCAAAATCAAACTGCCTCTAAAAGGCTCGGGGAAGGGCTCAGAAATCACCAGTAATGCATAGCCACGCTTACCACGCTCCTACCAGCAACTACTATAATTAAAAAAAATTTTGTAACATTAATATAAGTGCAAAATGGACTCTCAAGACTGGCTTAATTAGCATTTCTTTTATTACAAGTAAAGATCAACATTTTGCCCCAAGAGCTGTATACTATTTATATGTCCTCTTATGTAAACAATGGCTAAAAGCCTGTGTCCATTTTCCTAAGAAGGAACTTAACATCTTTCTAACAGATGGGAAGAAGCCTGTGACACATCCTGACAGACTCTCTGCCCCTCAATCACCCTGAGGAAGGGTGGAGTTACCTCCAAGTTGGCTGATTTCTGACTCTTACAGAAAGTCTGCTGGGCTCTTGGAATGACATGCATTAAATTATTACTTCTAATCCTATGCCACCAGAGATTTGCAACATTGCTTAAATAAACATGTTTAAATGTACATAAGCAATATGTATTCAAAGTAGAAAAATCACAAAATGCAGATAGGTAAAAAAGATTTTTTTAAAAATCACCTGTCATTTCACCATTTGGAGATACAATTATCTAACTCACTGTTATACTTTGTGGTAAATTCTATCAGACTTTTTTCAACACATAGCTTGGCACAGCATCTGTCTTCTTTCACTGCACAACCTGCTGTAGACATCTTTTAAAATCAGCGTGGAGATGTGAGATCATGCCCACAGCATCACTCTTGCTGGCTGAGCAGCGCTCCATCATCAAGGGCAGGGGTCCCCAACCCCTGGGCCACAGACTGGTACTGGTCCATGGCCTGTTAGGAGCCGGGCTGCACAGCAGGAGGTGAGCGATAGGCGAGCGAGCGCAGCTTCATCTGTATTTACAGACGCTCCCCATCGCTCACATTACCGCCTGAGCTCCACCTCCTGTCCGATCAGTGGCAGCATTAGATTCTCATAGGAGCGCGAACTCTACTGTGAACTGCGCATGCGAGGGATCTAGGCTGCACGCTCCTTATGAGAATCTATTGCCTGATGATCTGAGGTGGGGCTGAGGTAGTGATGCTAGCGCTGGGGAGTGGCTCTAAATACAGATTATCATTAGCAGAGAGGTTTCACTACACAGAGACCATAATAAATGAATTGCTTGCAGACTCATATCAAGACCCTATCAGTGAGTGGCAAGTGAAAACAAGCCCAGGGCTCCCACTGATTCTGCATTATGGTGAGTTGTATAATTATTTCATTATATATGACAATGTAATAATAATAGAAATAAAGTGCGCAATAAGTGTAATGCGCTTGAATCATCCTGAAACCATCCCCTACCCACCCCAGTCCATGGAAAAACTGTCTTCCATGAAACCAGTCCCTGGTGCCAAAAAGGTTGAGGACCGCTCATCTGGGGACCACCAATAATGGACTCAATTCCTTTCCTCAGGACTGGTGCTACTAGAAACAATGTGGGATGAGTACCCCTGGAGCGACCTCTCTGTGCCCTTTAAACTGTGTCACTGGGATGAACTCTATTTAACCTGTCTAGGATTCCTACATTTCATCTTCAAACAGGGACTACATTAAGACAACTTTACAGAGAGAATATAAAGATGCACCTGTGTGTGTAATAGAGGCCTTATGACTACTGTTCCCAGTTGAATGGACTGATTCAGTTAGTTTACCTTCTAAAATATCATTTGCCAGTATTTAAAAGTTTGGGTTATTTGCCTTTCAAAAATGTTTTTCACTGATGGTTGAAAAATAAAATTTTGGAGAACTTGAAAATTTATGGTTGAAATGTAAAAAGATGCAGCTTTTTATGGATCATTAAAAAAAAAAAACCTTTAAAATTATGTTTGCATATTAACTTGCAGCATACTTGAAGTAACTGAGGAAACTTACCAAATACATAAGATTGTCACGTTCCTGGGTTATATTCTCTGCCAGGACAACAAGATTTGCCAGGTACTGGTGAGCAGACATTTCGTTCTCCATGGCTTTTTCCACCTGCTTTTTGAAGACGTCAATTTTCTTTTGAGATCTCCTAGAGAGGTCCCCCAAATGGTGGAATAAAAAATTCATTAGCCTGCATGGCCAGGGCATAGTGAATATCTGTATTATAAAAATAGCAAGCATGTCATTATCATTTAAGTGTATTTTGCAGCAGCCTAAATCTTCTATTTAGTTTCAAGGTGAGAAGAGGTAACTGAATTTAAAGGAAGCATAATTACTGACTACAAGCCAAGTCAATAGGAATCACAAAATGCTTAACACACTTAACAGACTAACACATATTATTCTATTAATTTTTTGGCTGTGTTCTTTAAAAGATATTTTTGAAAAAGGAATCCAGTAATCCCTGGATTAGACTTTTGGGAAACACTTAGTAAAGAACTTCTAGAACTTGCAGAGTCCTAGGGTCAGCATTATGACTATCAACTGTAATTGAACAATAATGTTGGTTAATGTTGGTCATATTTTAAGGTTTTTTTTTGCGGTACGCGGGCCTCTCCCGTTGCGGAGCACAGGCTCCAGATGCGCAGGCCCAGCGGCCATGGCTCACGGGCCCAGCCGCTCCGCGGCACATGGGATCTCCTCGGACCGGGGCACGAACCCGTATCCTCTGCACTGGCAGGTGGACTCTCAACCACTGAGCCACCAGAGAAGCCCGATGTTGGTCATAGTTTATATGTTGGTATTTAATAATCTCATTTATCCCTTTCCATTTCATTGCCAACATTAGAAAAAGAAAAGATAAAGAATATGAAATAGAATATTCAATTGTCTTTTTAAACTATTAAAAAAAAAAAAAAACAGCTTGAGAAAAAAAAAATCCCACCTATTTATTTTCTGTGCCTTTTCGAGTTCAGCTTCCAGCGCCTTGTTTTTAGCCGTCAGATTTTTCTTCTCTAATAGCAGGCTCTTTTTCTGCACTTGCAGGGCTGCCAACTTTTCCATCAACTCTTCCATCTCAGCGTTTTCTTTCTCTTCTTCCTTCTGCAACTGGCTGATGGACAAAAACATCACAAGCCTGTATCCAGTACACCGAGGTTAAACGAAGCAGCCACTGCCAGGCAGTGATAGCACAGCCCTCCGGCCTGGGTGGGCCCTTTGGAGGCCTCTGTGGGAGCATCGTCATCCAGTCCCTGTCAGAGCTGGTGGGGAGCTCCTGGAGGGCGGCAGAGAGGGAGTAGCTGGTGCACACTGCTTTGACGGTAATGATCTAATCCCTTTTTCTGCCCACCATTTTTGCTTATGTCTGTGTGTGTATGTGTATTGTGTGCATATATATACACACTTATTTATACTCCCTCCAGAAAGAATTTAAGACAGCTTAATTTTTTACATAGTTATAATTGCCCCTCCTTCAAATCCTAATGCTAAAACAAATTTTATTTCATACTAAAATAATTATGTTTTTCTGATAAAAGAAACAAAAACAAGGAGGGCATACAATCAATATATAATTCTGGCAAAATGATGCCTGAGAGAAGAGTTATTCCTTCACTGGTTCTCTCGGTCAATTTTCACGAAATAACCGAGACCGAATAGGTAGGGTCACACACACAGAGGCTGCCCAGCATTCTGAGCAATGGGGTCTCCCAGGGTACCACGTGGGGCTTACTACTTGCTGGCTGGCTGGCTGGCTGGCTAGTGAACAAGCCTCACGCTGCATGTGTTTGGGGTCTGCCTTACTTGCCACACAATTTCAATGACCAGCCTCGGTTGGCTCCCTGAACACCCAGTCAGGAATTTTCCAGTTTCCACTGCTTTCTAGTTTACTACTTTTAGTTAGTCAAAGAGCAGAGGACATACCTGGACAAAACCCACAGAGTTGGGGTTTGAATTAAACTCATCTTTTATCTTTTTTCTTTGCTGTATTTTGTTTTGAGTTTAGAATTTTATTTAAAAGTATTTTTGCCACTTACCTGACACCAAAATCAATCAGTTCACAAAATCAGTCAAAAAGTTCACAATGAAAAGCAACCAAAGACAATAGGAAATGCTGGGAAAGTGCTGGTGGGCGTGCACAGCCGCCTCAGAAAACAATATGTCAAAATCTAGAAAATGCATTTACACTATGGCCAAACAATGCCACCTCTAGGTATGTATTTAGGGACACCGATAAACCGTAAAAGAAAGTTTACTGGGGCATTGCTTAAAGGAACAAACTTAGAAACAATTTAAACTTCCATTAATAGGCTAAGTAAAATGCAGTATTTCATATGATGGAATACCACCATGCAGTTAAAAAGAATAAACTCTCGGACTTCCCTGGCGGTGCAGTGGTTAAGAATCCACCTGCCATTGCAGGGGACATGGGTTCGAGCCCTGCTCCGGGAAGATCCCACATGCAGTGGAGCAACTGAGCCGGCGAGCCACAACTACTGAGCCTGTGCTCTAGAGCCCGCGAGCCACAACTACAGAGCCCGTGTGCCACAACTACTGAAGTCCGTGCACCTAGAGCCGGTGCTCTGCAACAAGAGAAGCCACTGCAATGAGAAGCCCGCGCACCGCAACGAAGAGTAGCCCCTGCTTGCCGCAACTAGAGAAAGCCTACGTGCAGCAATGAGGAACCAACGCAGCCAAAGAAAAAAAAAAAAGAATAAACTCTATGTATCTATCTCAACATGGAAAGATGTTTGAAAACTGAGTGAAAAAAGTGAAGATACTAAAAGTATGAATTCACTTATGAACACATAAAACACACCAAAAAAATACTATGTCATTCATGGATACATGTAGAAATAAAAAATAGATTGGAAATATAATTCCAAGTTTATGATAGTGATTGCTTTTGGAAAGCCAGGGAAAACAATGGGATTAAGGATGGTGGTTAAAAGGGGCTGCAGCTGTATTTCTAACAATATAGTTCTTGAAACAAACAAAAAAAGGTGGAAACAATTTGCACACACATACAAAAAGTTAACACTTACTATGTGGTGGGAGAAATAGTTGATTAAAAAAACTTTTTTTAAATAAAATGTTTCCTATTCTATCCCTAGAGTCTCACTCCCCAGAAGAAACTTCTGCTGACCATTTCTGATTTTAGTTCTTCTGGTGAAAAACCATGACTTAAATTTTTAAATTGTGAAATGTAATATAGAAAACTATACAAACGGTAAATGCATATTTTAACAAACAATTATAGTGAACACCCACATAATTACCACACAGGTCAAGAAACAGAACATTTCTGGTACCCCAGACACTCCCATGTGTTCCCTCCCAGCCCCCCAGTCATAGAGTCCCTCCCTAATCATCTCTATAGTGTCATCGCCTATCTATGCATCACTACAGCTTAGTTCAGTTTGCCAGTACTGGAACCAGATATAAAGGGAACCAAGACCCATTAATAGGTGCACAAAGGGACTATATGTACCTTAGTGTCATTACGCCTATAAGACTCACCCGTCTTTTTGTGTGGCTATAGAATAATTCATTGTATCAGTACACCAAACACTATACATTCGTTTTCCTGTTGACAGTCACTTGGGCTATATTCTGCACACACACTTGCAGGATTCTCTAGGGCAGTGCGACTCAAAGTGTGGTCCTCAGATGGGCAGTGTGGTCCTCAGATGGGCAGTCTCCAGCTGTCTGTTACTCATCCACAAGATAAGCACAGAAATTGAGAAAATGGCTGTTGACATTGCTGTGACATCTGGGCAGTCTGAGGTGAGTGAACGCATTCTGCTGAACAGCAGCTTGGGTGTTGTCAAGTTTGCAGAGAGAGAAGCATGTGGTAGGAGCCGCATACTTGTCATGTGAAGCAGGAATACATAACAATTTATAATTTTAAGATTAATTTATCAACTGTAACTCAAGAATATATAAAAACCAGAATTCATTTATTTCACTGAAAAATAATTTAACTATTATTTTACTGGACACACTGACCTGGATTTACAATAAAGGGTTAAAAAGAAGACTGAAAATACAAAGACTTCTTTCTGCTTCCAGCCAAGACAGAGTTACAGAGACCAGATTTATTCAGCTAGAAAACCAGGCAAAACATAAGAAACAACAGTTTTCAGACTTTGGACAATAAGCAGTACAGGACTGTGATCCCTGAGAGGGAAATAACAAGGTGAGTACTACGACTGCTCCAGCTTACTGCCTGGAGTAAAACCCAAACCAAACCCAGTGGACTTGCTGAGTTGAGGAATCAGAGATCAGAGATCAGAGATCAGAGAGGCCAAGGTAGCTAGAAGTTGTGGGCAGAGAGGAGGGAGTTCCAGGGATAGAGGAAGGGCTCTGGAGATCTTTAGGTGGGCTCACCACCAGTCTTTGGCTGACTACTGATCTGCACATGTATGAGAGGAAACTACCTGAGGCTGAGGAAAGAACCACGAGAAACAAGGAGGCAGAATAATTCCTGACATTCACCAAGAACTGGGAACAGTGCATGAGCCCACCAGCCAGAGTAGAGAGACCTTATAATACAAGGGAGATTGGCGATAACCCTCAGAAGGGTATTACTGCCTTTGTAGTAGGGTTAAACTAGCCCTGACTAAAGGCTGCTTTGGGCCTACCCTAACAAAAGCAAGCTTTGAAAGAATCCAACTACTGTCTAGTAACAAGTGTGCACTAGAACAAAATGTAACACTATTCAAAGCGATGCACTAAATCTAGCATCCAGCAACACAAAATCTACAACAGTCAATATCCAATCAAGCATGGGAATAAGCAATAAAATAGGGTCCATGATCAAGAGGGAAAAAAAAAAAATCAACACAACGGATGCAGAAGTCAGAGAGATGATGGCAAATAATAGAGAATAACAGCTGGTGAGGAGAGCAACGAAAACTACAAAACAGACTCAAATTGACCTTCTAGTGATGGAAAGAAACAAGCGGAAGAGGTAAACAATACGTTGGATGAGAATAAAAAGATTAGACGCTACAGAAGAAAAGATTAGTGAACTTGAAGACAAGCAATATAAACTACCCATTTGAAGCACAGAGAGAAACAAGAGCAGGAAAAAGAAATGGACGGAGCATCAGAGGCCCATGAGACAGTATCAATTGGTCCCAGGAGGAGAGATGAGAGAGGGGAAAATAGAAAAGAATATTGAAGAAATAACGGCTAAATTATTTCCAAATCTGATGAAAAATATATATCCACAGCCCAAGAAGCTCAATCAACCTAAAGCTGAATAAACATAAAGAAACCACACCAAGGTACATCCTAAGTAAATGCTAAAAACCAGCAACAAAGGAAAATTATTAGAAGAAGCCGAAGAGAAAAGACATATCACTGTTCAGAAGAACAAAGATAATAACAACTGCAGATTTTCATTAGACACAATGCAAGACAGAAGGCTATAGAGAACACCTTTAAACTGAATGGGGAAAAACTCCGGAGCCGAAAACCCGTCAACTTGGAATCTTTACCCAGTGAAATTATCAATAAAGTTTAATGATTTTTCCAATAAAAGTACTGTGAATCTTTCTATTCCTTTCTATTTGTGATGCTTTGTAGATAGCTCTTTCCTTCCTCCTTTCTTTCCCTTTTTTTTGGGGGGGGGGGTCTTTTTCAAAATCTCAGTTTCTACATATTTATTCCTACAAAGAAATACAATCGATTTTTATAAATTGACTTTGTTTCTACCAATGTTGCAAAAATTCATTATTATTTCTATTTTTATTGAAGCATAGTTGATTTACAATGTTGTGTTAATTACTGCTGTACAGCAAAGTGACTCAGTTATACGCATATACATTCCTTTTCATATTCTTTTCCATTATGGTTTATCACAGGATTGAATATAGTTCCCTGGGCTATGCAGTAGAACCTTGTTGTTTATCCATTCTATATAAACCAGTTTGCATCTGCTAACCCCAAACTTCCAATCCATCCCTCTCCCACCCCCTTCCCCCTTGGCAACCACCAGTCTATTCTCTATGTCTGTGATTCTGCTTGTGTTTCACAGATAAGAATCTAAAAATTTTAGATTCTACATATAAGTGATATCATATAGTATTTGTCTTTCTGACTGAGTAT